AAAAAAAGTAAGATTTGGCAATTATGAATGTAAAAATTATATCTGATAAAATTCCACCGCGAGCACAGTTACAGATGCCGATTCTTTCATCAAAGTTTTTACTTAACGGCTGAATTTCGTGAAATTATGCGATCGGGAAATTTGGTTTGCAATAAATTCATTGTTTCGGTGGCGTGTGTACATCGTTCGGAATACGTCAGAACTAATATATTACTTTTGCTTCAAAAATCAAATTCACTAAAACTCTATCGACTTTACCTCATCCCTACAAACGTCAAATGAAGTATCACAGGGATCATTCTAGTTTGACTTTGATATTGTTGGTCAAAGTCAGCTGAGAATGATTTTGTTATTATCAACAGCTGGAAGAACACCATCCGTATCTACATAATAATGTAATGTAAAATGAACTGCCTCTGTGGTCGAACTGTTACCATGCTACTTAGCAGAGGTCTCGGGTTCGATTCCCAAGCAGGTAGAAATATTTATATTGTCCAAAGCAGTAAAATAAGTCATTTTCCACGATTATCAAGATATTGCGTGAGGTATAAAGTGAAAATAGTTGACTGAGCTCAAGTATGTGGAACTCTGCCTACTGTTGGCACACGTACCACGTCTATTAAGCACTTCTACTTTATTTATTGTTCTGTATGTCGAACTAAACAGCATAATTTACCAATGTATTTTTTTTATAATCAGAGCTTTAAATCGCAAAGATCTTATGGGCACTGCCACTGCGCCCGTCATGCGTCACCCTGAGACATATGTTGACAAATCCAATGTGCCTGTAATTTAAATGATGCTTGATCCTTGTTTCAGGCATAATAAACTACAATGACCATCTAAACTTATGTCACTTCACCGAGCGCAAGTTCATTTGCTCTTACTGCCACGACGGCTTCGAGCGCGAATGTGACAAGTTCCTTCACGAAAACGGCCATTTGGGCCTCAACAAGTTAAATCAGTACATCCACTTGTCCACTGCATCGTCTTTGAAACAATCACAGAAAGTCAGTATCACTCAAACCGACCCGGAGTCTTGTAAAACCAATGTCCCGGAGGAGAAACTAAAGAAAATTGTATCATTTTTCGATAAAATTGTCGATACCGAACATATGCTTAGTGAGCACAAGAATCGGTGCTCGGGGAGTGAAACAGAAGGGTTTGTACATACTTTTTTATAATATTATGTGACGGGGCGAACGAATCACGCACCTGATGGTAAGCTACACATAATAGTATGGTCTATAACAGTTGCAGTGTCACTTAGAGCTTTACATCGTAACTTTCAGGTAAGTTTTTTTTTGTACTCAATTTTGGTGACAATTTTTATCACTTAATTACTCGACTATTAAAAAATATTTCAAGGTTACCACACTCGAATATTACCTTAATAATAAGATTCGCTCTGGACCTTTTGGAGGGAAAAGTGTCGTTTTTATTTTGACTTTCAATTATTTTGTGAAATCTAGTTTAGAGTGGAATAGGATAGTGCTATTGTGCCTTAATCGAAGATTAAAACGCGAAATTATACGAATCTCGAACTAAAATACCCGTATTGGCCCGTTCTAAGGAATCCCGAGTCAATCCAAGCACGCCGCCTCAAATTGCCTATCCTCTTTGTGGCGGCCATATTTACAGAAAAACTTATTTTTATGTTTTCGGCTGAAGGACTTTGTTTCCATGGCCAGAAATAAATTATTAAAAAAAAAACCTAAATAATACTTCATGATGGTATTCTATAAATATTTAAATAAAAAGAAATTGTCACCAAAATTGAGTACAAAAAACTTACCTGAGAATTACATTGGCAAGTCCCATGTGCCTGTACTTTCACTGGGACTTGTTAACTTATGTCTCACGTTGACGGGCGCAGTGGCAGTGCTCATAAGATCTTTGGGATTTAAAATCTGAAGGCACTGCAACTGCTATGGATAGGCGTGTCGCTTACCATCAGGCGCATGATTTGTTCGTCCCGCCACTTGGTATTACAAAAAAAAAGTTTAGTATTATTATTATATTTATTGCAAACTATAGATAGTAATTTCACAAAAAAGTAATTGAATATCATGGTACAAGCCTACCGCGTAAGAATCGATACTACCTTGACCAGAATTAAAATTTTTCCTGTACTGAATGAAAGGTTCTTATTACGCGAGTCGAGTGGCCGGGAACACTGGCTTTATTTCTGAATAGTTTATTACAAACGAAATTAAGTCCATTAGAAAAATGTATATCATACGAGTATACGTGTTCTATTTAGTACAGTTGGTATAAAAAACATTATTGGTATTTATGTGAAGCACCAATTGTATTTATATAAACACCGGTTTTCTTGCAAAATTTCAAGGAAAGTTCGTGTTTGTTTTCTATTGCGAAAATTTTTACGAACCCTGTTTTTACGCCGTATACTCTTAGAATAATAACGCATAGAAACCTAGTCCACACACGCTAAGTGAATTGAAGCGCGCCAAAAGGGCCTACACGAGCGGGCCGGCCTTTAGTGCTCAAGGTCAACTTACACCGCGAACAGATCAAGAATTTTAGCTAAGAATGACGAATTGTGCGGTAAATGAGTGTAAAAATACGTCAGACAAACAAAATAGATACTAACATCACATCCCACAAGGAAGTAACGCGTTTCAACTTGTATTTTTATATAAATATTCACTAAAACCGAAAATTAACCTACTACTAAAACTAGCCTACATGAATTTGATTTTTGCCTCACTTGTGACAGTTCGTTTGATATGAAACTATCATTCTATGGGTTATTATTCTAAGCGTATACTAATCATTGTATACCCTCAATTTCACTATATTTTTTTTCCAAAGTGATTTATTCAATACTTACGCCGTTATACGGAATCAACCAAAGCCATTTAGGGTTCTATCGACTCATGAGTTGGTTATTTATTTATTTAAACATGTTTGGGTATTACAGATTTATAACCTTCGGACTATTAGTGGGTACATTCATGTGATACCCCATAAGGGTGTAGCAAATGACACTTAAAATTAAATTGGAATTAAAATTATTAGACTTGAACCATTGACTTACAAATAAATGGACGACGGGTCTAATACAAAAACCACGAAAAAAATGTCCCAAGTCAACCTATTTAAACGTAGTGACATGATAAGGAATATGAAAAAGCTAAAACGTTGAATTTAAATTGTAATGTCATCGCAGTAATGTCTAATTTTGCTTGCTTCGCTGTCAGTCGAACAAACGAAGACTAAAGCGTGAATGACGCTCTGTATACGATTTTAACGCCCTATAAGTTCGGACACTTTAGCGCGGACCCGACGTCCATATAATTGTAAGTCAATGACTTGAACGTAATTAATTAACATGGATTTTATATTACTATTTATATATGTATTTACTGTTTACTGCGTTCATGAACCTGTAAGGTGCAGGGGGAGTGCCAGTTTACATAACAGTTATAGAACGTATTAACCTGTTTGTTACAAAGGTCTAACAAAGTCGAAGACTCCCAAAGTGAAACGGCCTCCTCGAACACATTTGATAAACGAACAGTGAGCTGTGGTAACCTCTTCCACCGCAAGTTTAACAAGTGCAAGCCGGTGACTGTGCGATCAGATATGAACAACAAATTGGATCATGAGTTAATTCAGTGCCATATTTGTGGAGAAATTTTTACATACAGGTTGGTTTCTTTTTCTTTTAAATATATATAGTTAGGGCGACAGACTGACGGTATGGTTGCAGTTGACGGCTGCAATCGTAATTGCAGCCGTGACCTCGATTGTATGAAGTTGATAACGTTATCACACATTAACTGCATGCAGTTGATACAACTTGACATTTCGAGTTCTTAGGTTTTCGCAATTGTTATACATAGGAAATGAAACTATTTTTCCGGATTTAAATTGCGTATATTTGTTTTTTCAAACAAACCGACGTTTCGGGCCCTTTACAGGACCCATGTCCCAAGGTCCCAAGTCAACCGTGATCATGGGACCTGTAAACGAGTGCCTGTGAGTCGCGAGTACCTGTGAGTGCCTGTAAGTCGCGAGTACCTGTGAGTGCCTGTGAGTCGCGAGTACCTGTGAGTGCCTGTAAGTCGCGAGTACCTGTGAGTGCCTGTGAGTCGCGAGTGCCTGTAAATGCGTGTGGGTTCGTTTTCATTAACTGCATGCAGTCGGTTTCGACTGCATGCAGTTAATGCGTGCAGTCGTTATTAACTTCATGCAGTCGAGGTCTCGGCTGCATGAAGTTGATTACTTCACGCGTTAACTGCAAACGTGCAGTCAATCTGTTAGCAGTCTGTGTCGTTGGTTTATGCTAACAAGCCCACAACGTTAAATGAGCTCAAGAACAATATCAAATAGGAAATTGCCAACTTTTCGGCCGACATGTGTAAGAGTCGTGGGAAATTGGCTCCAAAGATGGAACGCAAACGGCCTCGCGGTGGTTATTTGAACAAGATCGAATTCCATTCCTAAAACTCGATATTTCAAATGGACGTAGTAAAGCAAAAAGGATATAATCCACAAAATTATCAAAAAACTAGTTATATGTACCAAACGGTTCCTGAAGTTTAACCTCTTAGATCAGCAAAAAAAATCCAACACATAAACATAAATAAATATCTCTGGAACATTACACATTAAATACATAATAAACATTTTTAAAATAAAACATTTTTAAACTTCAAACTGCCATACCTCGAAAGTGACTGAATGTGCATTGGATCCTTTTTGTTTAACGTCCAATTATTCTGGTTTATTGAAATACAAAGTTTTTGTCCCTATTGAAAAAACTCCACACAAGCGTCTATTTGAAGGTGCCCTTAATATACTAAGGCGCTCCGCAGATGGAGCAAGTTTAGTTGAGGCAACTGGCAACTTTTTACAAGTTTCCATTACCGGTTGCCGGTTGTAGCAATTTTAAATAAACTTTCGAAATCCACGTTCAAAACTGACGCCGCGGGAGACGAGGAGGGAGTGAAGTTGCTTCACGAGTTGCGGTTACCGGTTGCGGAAACTGGCAACTGAAGACAACCGGTACAAATTTGCAAGATTCTAGTTGCGGCTATTAAGCATTTATTTAATCAAGGATTTCGGCAATCGAAAAGTGTAGTCAATTGCCGAAACTCTCAACTGAAGTTGTTACGACTGCGCGGTTTCATGAAAGTACATGAAAACGTCATAAACAGCTAGTTGCTGGTTGCCAGTTGCCGAAACTCGATGATCAAAGTTAGTCCATCTGCGCAGCGCCTAAGAGCGCGGTTTACGCACTGACTTCACTAATAAAAATTATTATGTTTGTTATTAAAACCAGGCGTCAACTTAGTCTGCACGTGGATCTCGAGCATCGTACCCATGACAAGTTTTCCAAATTTCACAGTTGTGCTGGTATCACAAACTATACTAGTAACCCTTTTCGTGCGAAACGAAGTACAATGCAACTGGAAGACGGTAAAATAAACGTGCAAAGTAGCGATATGCGTTCAATAAAAACCTCGTCAAGTTTGAAGTCGCAAGATTTTAATGTTACAAGCGAAGGCAGTTTAAGCTGTGATCCTTCCACAAATATTATTTATTTTGAAAGTAATGGCAAAGTTGCTAATAAAGTCCAGAGTGGGATTTCTAGCTATAAATGGGAACCTGGGACGAAAATTATAAGAGTTTGAACTAAATTTTGAATTTCGCATTTATTTTTTGGTCTTTTTTGGTCATTTTGGAGGTTATTATGTTGAATTTTAGTAACCAAAATTACGGAATTTTTTGTACATTGTTGAATGTTAATAAGTAACCTTGAATTAGTTTCTTATTTATATTATAAAAAGGATGTATTGTTAATAATTTATTGCTTTTTTAATTATTATTTTAATTTTATAAAATTATTATTTACGCTAGAAAATGAGGTACATTTATTTAGTTTACATGTAAACTTATTACTTGTACTATGTGTACAAAAGGTCACCAATAGTGATGCGCAATTATAATTAAAAATCATCCATCAATATATCGATCCAATTATCAATCGAGAGCTTTCAAATCGATAATTCTATTGGCACAGATATTGATTTTTATTGGCTTGTACTTCCTTAATAAGCAATGGAAGACTAAAGTATGGCGTTCACAGAAAAACGTCTATATGCCCCTTTCTATCGTCTTCCTAGCTAAGAGGATAATAATCATGCCCAAGTAACATCATTTACACCACTTCTGATAACACTAAGTATATTTTCTGTAGAAGTTCTGTTCGTGACCTATTTACAGTACTAATTAAAGAAGGTTACTTCACTTTGTGTTTTATTTAATTATCTGTATAGTGATAAAAAATAATTTCAATAAGAAAACATATCCCGACTCTGCTACACTTGGGTGACGCATGATATGTCAGTATGACCACCAATAAACGACCAGCATAGCGTCGGGGATATTTTAAATCCCTCTCCTTTGAAATTTGGTTTCGTGCAGATACGCGCATTACTACATACGCGGATTTTGCACTATACTACACACGCGGATTTATACTTATTGGATTTATTGCGTTAACGTGCACAGGAGTCATCTAAACGAATGTTCTAGTAACAAATAAAAACCGGTAAACGAACGTTAAATATTAAAAATGTAAAGCGTGACAGAGGATCCGCCAATTCATAGTATATATATTCTATATTAAGGGCGGTAAATAAGGAATTACTAACGAGACTTTAACAGAAGCCCGAAGTCGAAGACTTACGGGTTTCGGAGTCGAGGTTCGTAATTCTCATAACGCCTGTTAAACACTTTACGTACACGTGTGATGAAAAAATCCTACTGGACCCGCTAGTAAAACCACTCAATAGGGACTTCAGTGTCAGTGTAGTTTCCTTTCTTTGCCCGTGTCCCTACTGCGTAATTCTACTGGTATTTTTTTTTTGTTATTCAAATGTAAGTGTGCATTTGACCTTTGATGGAAAGTAACAATGAGGTGGGGAGGACGAAGTAGCATGCACACCTAAATAATGCCTATTCACTCTCGCCTTGAAAAGGACCAAATTATAACGTTCAGGGAACAAGTCTGCAGACATGGAATTCCACTCCATAGCCGTACGCTAGCGTAACGCTTCGTGCGAATCTTTGGTAGTACCAAAGGCAATGTTTTTTGTCTGTGTTTCTACCAGTATATATCCCTAAGTCCCTGGTTCAAATTCGGCTCGAAGGACCAATGTTAGGGTCTTAATAGAACTTAATAAAAAGTGAACTGTATTTAAAATAGGGCTGGTATATTCATCGTACGATAGATTGGTTTGCCAATAATACAAATGCAGAAAGATTAACTGTCACCGTTGGCTGTCGAAAAGGCAAGTGCCCCTGCGCTGCTGCGTTCGCATAGGACCGTTTCGCAACAAGAATTATATTGTTCCGGGCACCGAGTAGTATTGGCTCAGTTATGATTCCGACTCCTGTGGCCAGAGTGATAAATATAATTTTCATAAAAAGATACCTGCATTGCAATTGCACTACTCATGTCACTAAATATTGACACATTGTCCTTTTCAGCCAAATTAACTATCGTTGAACTTTCAATACTTCTTTAGTATCGCTAATCGCTTTCAATTATTTCTCTCAACATTACAAATTTCATACAAATACAGTTACTCGTAATTTTAAAATTAATATAATAATAGGTACATACAAGTGAGCGTCACTTTATAAAATAAAGAAATAATTAAATAATAGTAAGGCACAAGTACGCAATAGTGTACATAAATGTACATAAAAGTATAATAATACGGTGAATGCCAAATTCATTAATAATTATAAATAATTTAATAATTAATTAAGTATTTTGAGTGTACTCTGTTACTGAGTAAAGGGACTTTTCCAATAAAAATAGTTCTATAGTATCACCAAAGGATTTAATTAAGAATAAAACTCTAAAGTTACTTAAAACGTCGTTTATTATCAAACCAAAGAAAATACATGCAAAGTTAGACTTAAAACTAGGTGATGTATGATGCGGGATTCTTATGCTTTCATTTTAAAATATTTGCGTTATCGATACTTTCGTGCAATATTAACTTCCTATCCCTAAAGTGTCGTAACAGTGATAGTGTTCGAAGTTCTCGACTTATCGTTTCATGAAATCAAAAAGCGTGAATAAATTTGTATGTATGTGAAAAACCCATAAGTGAAATCTATATACAGGCTGAACCAAAAAAACCATTGACCATTTTAAAGACCATACTGTATAACTGAAATAAAAAATACATGTTTGGTTTTTTTCAAATACTTAACAAATAAATAAGTTATGAAGTCCCAAAGTTTTCCGAAAAATTGTGAACAATATTGACATCCGATGATTAGCTGACACCATTGCTATAGCATTAAGAACGGTGTGGGGCAGTGGGCGGAGTCAGCGCGCAAGTTTATGTATTTTACAGACAACAAAGTATTAAAATTACGCGCGATGCGTTAGCGCAGGTCTGTCGTCGCGCAGCGCGACGTGCTGGTGTATAGGCCTCTAGACAACTCGGCGCCGATCGCTCAATTTTATCTACCATTTTGGGTAACCACGCGTTAGAAATTATTGGGAAATATTAAAATAAAAAAAATGTTTTTTTTTGTTTTATTTCAACATAGCTCAGCACTAGGGAAACCTTGTGTAGCGGATGCTATGAACACACACATAGACAAACACAAATTAAATAAATAAATAAATCTAGGCCATACAAATATTTCTCCCGGCCCGGGAATCCAACTAGGGACCTCTGCGTGGCAGTCCGGCATTGTAACAGTTCGGCGACGGAGGCAGTTTATGTATAATGTGTTCTATTACTGAATCTTATGCACAGGAAAAAATGGACAGTGATTTTTTATCACCCTGTATAAAATATATATCATATGTATACATATATAAAGTTTTTGTTAAGGTAGGAGTTTTTTATTTTCATCCGGCTTTACTAACGAAAATCTTCACGCTTCGCCTCTGATATATATAATACTTCAGAAGTTTTTTTTAGCAACGTTACCTAGCCTCTGTGCGTGAAAAAAAGTCAGTCCTTTTTAAATAATGGCTAGTAAATAGATAGCTAAATTTCATACCTATAGTCAGTTGTGATAAGTGATAATCCTGTGATGATGCATGATAATGATAACAAAATTCACTGCAACAACATGATGTCGTCGAGTTGGAGCTGCACCATTTGGTTGCCGCTGACTATAACGCCGTCGCGGAGAAGGAGTTGCACGTTTAGTTCTTTTAGCTCCTGCAGTGTTGAAACAAATATTATGACCAAAGATACAGAACAAGCCAAATACATTTACCTAAACTTCCAATACTACAAAAAAAGAGTGCTTTGGGTTATTATGGCAGCTGCGGAAATTCCCGAGATTGCTCGAGGATTCGAATCGACGGTAACTTGTTTTTGGCTCTTATGTATATTATAGGGATGCATTTTACGACTCGATTTTTATAAAGTGTATACGATCTAGCGATTTTATGTATATAATAATAACGCATACACTCAACATAGCCACGCACTAGGGAAACTCTGTGTCGCGGGTGCAATGGACACACACATAGACAACCACAAATTACACCCAAATTCACGAGAAAAATAAATGTAGGCCTTACAAATATTTCTCCCGGCCCGGGAATCGAACCTGGGACCTCTGCGTGGCAGGCATGGTAACCGTACGGCCACGGAAGCAGTTATATTATCGATTCGATCGATTAGTTATAGTATCGAATCTTTTTTATGCGATTTTTAAGTTAATAGATTCAATATTAAGATGAATGGTATTGTCTATAGTCGGTCTTTTTTTACGACGGAGTAATTTGTAAGGTTGCCAGCATTCATAATATTTTAAATAGTGATGTAGTTCTTGTCGACAGTTTTATCGATAGATTATGAAAGAAGGTAAAATTTTGCCAAAAATGAGTGAATTGTGAATGTTACGACTTTTTAATGATTACTAATTGCGTTATTGCCTTCTTTATTCTTATTTTGACAGTTGGCCTACTAGTATCGAGATCAATTTTTATTCGTGTAAATTTTAACAAGGATAGCCAGGTTTCTTGTTGTCTCCTGTTTGTATTTTTCATAAATACGGTTTAAATACAGTGTATGTATGTATGAAACAAAAATTGACAATTCAAATGAACTTGTGCTCAGTAATTGGATGAATAATAGGTCAAGGATGATTGGAATGAAACAAGTTCGGCTATTTATTCCATAAGCGCGGCTAATATTCAGTCGATAGTCGATGAAATATTTATCGATTGCAATCACTAACTGCTCGCTAGCGGGCAGCACTTTTGCGCAATAAACTGTATTTTTTACTCCGTATTAAAAAAGACAGACAACAGATCGTATTCATAATTTAAACAAAACAATCACTCTCTGAACCTCTGAATTTTAAGGCTAATTCTATTTTAATTGGTCTGCAAGAAAAGTAATTTGGCAATATTTAAGTACAATAATTATACGATATGCTTCTTTTGTGTCACAGAACTGACAAATACCACTCTAAACGAAAGTCGTAACCGACAGAGGTCGAAAAGACTGTCAAAATTGTTTCTATTTTTTCAAAATTATGATCCAATCTGTGGATCGATTCAGAGGCATATGATCCATTAAGATCCAATCATCCCTAATCAACAAGAAACAAAGATTGTTGACAAACTTAATCTAAACAGCATCATTTACAAGCATCATTTAAATTACAGGCACATGGGAATCGTCAACTTATATCTCAGGGTGACGGGCGCAGTGGCAGTGCCCATCAGATCTTTGCGATTTAAAGTTCTGAGTGGCACTGCAACTGTTATGGACAGACATGTATCTTACTACCAGGCGCACGACTTGTTCGTCCCGTCACTTGATAATATAAAAAAATAATGTTAGAGCAGTTATAAGTGAAGACAACATGCATGATAATAAGAACGTTAACATTTACTATTACAATTTGAATCCATCAAATTATATTTAAAATAATATTAATAAAGCAAATAAAGAAACAAGTAAAAAATAAGGTTCGTAAAAAGAATTGAATATTAATAAAATAACTAAGGTATAAAAATATATGTTTTTTAAATATTTTTTAAGACGTCTGGGACTTGACAGAACGTTTGTCGATAAATCTATCGATAAAACTGTCGACAACTCCATGCTTATTTAAAATTTTATGAAACTGGCAAATTTCATATTAGTCCGTGTTCAAAAAACGACTGAATAAGTTTGTGCGTTACACTATTGACATAAAGCTGGTAATGCTATGGTAATAAATTGATTGCATTCCGTTACAATTACCTGCTGTACCTATTGAGTACAGCGGTTTTCTCTTAAAATTTCTAGGTAAATTTGTGTTTTTTTCTATTGTGAAATTTTGTTTTCACATCGTATAGTAATCAAATGTAAGATCATTAGTAATAAGTGTACATCGTAAATTTTTCTATACATATATTTTTTCCAAAGTGAATGTTCAACACTTTCACTGTTATGAATCAATCAAAACCATTAGAGGTTGCATAGACTCTTAATTAGTGATTTATAAACTAACCTCGTTAGAAACGTTGAGGGTAATGGGATACGGGCTGGCAGGGTGCATTTGTTGTTGGTGTTGCTGTTGATTTGTTGGCCGTGCAACAGGCTGGAACGACAATAAACACCTGAATTACCTATCAGTTAACAGTATCGAGTATATCACCAGAAAAAGAGGCGAAATAAGGGCCAAATGGGTCTTATATCACTTTTAAATATCAACTCTCATTTGCGCTGAAATCACAAATGAGAAAACTGAAATAGTATAGCGCTGTGGTATTTATATAGTTATTTTATATTCTGGTCTATGGCACGCAGGTATGTATTTACCAGGTATTGTAAATAAAAAGACCCAAATCACAATTACGGGGTTATAATGTCCAGCACACCAGATGTTCAAATACACAAAGGTTTAGAAGGCACAATGGATAGAAAACATAAGCACAAGCACCGGCACAGAGTTCGGAAGAAACAATGAAATAGCTAGCGGTTATATTATTAAAAATACAAGCAAAAGCAAATACAAAATGGCGTAGGTACGATAGTTCGCGTCGGCAAAATTGCAAGGCGAGAGACGTACGCTCCGTGTCAACGTAAGGCTGTAACTGCTTTGACCTCTGCGTGCGCGCCGGCACATTATCAGGGTCAAACTCAAACTCAAAATAATCTTTATTTCATAGGTAAGCATTATTACACTTGAAATCGTCACAATGGTTAAACTCTACCGCTCATTCGTAAGGCAGATTCCCCTGAGAAGAATGAGCAAGAAACTCTAGGGGATACATAACGTTATATACCCTGCGCGGTATTAGAGATGGGGTGATGTCGATACGGAAGTTATCGATGGAGTGCGAATTATTTTTAACATCGACGGACTGGGAATTATGAATTGTGAATAGTGTTCTATGTAGTGCAGTGTTGTAATATAGATAAAAATAAGCAGCGTAAAGTAAAAAATTGATAATATGCATCTTGGAAGTTATAAAAATATGTGCACGAAAATAGGCTACAGCGCCAACAACTGACCTGTGTGTACGTCTCCGTATATTCCAAAAATATTATGTATTTATTGTAATAAAGATAATATCTCTAACAATGTGGGTTGTTCCATTTGGTGGTGTGGGAAAAACAGCAAAACATCTAATTACAAAATAAACGGAATCACATTTCATCGGTAATTAAACGCTAAATATGTAATTTTGCAATTTTCGTCCATTATAGCAAAGCTCAAGTTAAGCTGTCGTCGTGTCAAGGTAAGCTGACACCCGTCAATTGTTTCCAATTCGGGCTGGCCAATCGGAGAGCAGTTGTCACAGTAATGATTTGGCAGAATAGTTTCCAAACAAATTAAATAACATTTCGTCTGTATTTCTTGTTATATACTCGATGGTTAACAGTCGGAACTTGAAAGCCAGTGTGATTTATACGTCTTTGAAAACCAGTAAGTTGAACACAGCGAACGGGTTCGTTTTTAGATAACAGATGGAGTAAATTGAGTATTAAAGGGTGGCCGAAGGTTACAGAAATATGGAACGTCCTACAGGGAGATTATTGGATGTCATCTTTAGAATCGCAGGCCGTGGATGAGTGAGACTTTTTTTTTTTTTTTTTTGACGGGGGGGAAATCTTTATGGATACCCCTGAGCCCAGGGAGACTCAGGGGTTATGTGGGGACTCTCCCTCCACACTGGAAGGCCTACCCCGCTAAAACCCCCCCGGGTTTCCCTCTCGCCGGTTGAGTCGGCGCCGTGGGATCAGGATGAGTGAGACTAACACAACATTGTAATGAATGGCATGAACTACAGGAGGCACCCAGAAGTGGATTAATACGGGCTGTGGATGATCATGAATGGGTTATATACCGGAAGGACAACACTCGCACGCATCGTCATTTTCTGAATTTTAAAATTATCGAGTTGTTTAGGATTGTTAGCGGGATGCTACACTTTGAAAATGAAACTTTTTAAATGCGTATATTAGATAAGGCATCAACTATGCAGTCACTAGTGTAAGTAATGGTTAAGTATATCATTATTTTATAAGCAATGGTCGGAAAAAGGTGTTACACATATATAGATATTTGTACAGATATAGCAACATAGAGTTGTTGTGTACGTTCGTCATAAATAATAAACAGTTAAACATCAACGTGTTGTCCTTTGCGAATGGCTTGCTGACAGCGTTGTTGCCGTTCCGTCAATGTGGCCGTCATAGGGCGCTGGTTCATATCCGGCTCGAAGGACCACTAGTACGGTCTGTCTGTACAATTTAGTCAGAAGTCGTCTGCTCGCGCTGGAGGTTTAGTCAGGACTGCCTTCGTCGTCCTTTGTCAAGGAAGGAAGGTCGGTCGTTGTCCTTTGTCAAGGAAGGAAGGTCGGCCGTTGTCCTTTGTCAAAGAAGGAAGGTCGGTCGTCGTCTTTTGTCCAAAAGGAAGTCGGTCTAATTTCGAATTCCTGTCAGTCTAGTAAGTCTGTCTTTGTGGTCTGTCAGTCTGGTCATCCATGGAGGTTGGATGCGACAATATGAAAGGCGCGGTGTGGTATTTAAAGCTTAGGAGGAGCGGAGAGCGCCATTGTCACTATTTTCTTATTCTCTGCTTCGCTAAGTCAGTTATCTACTGCATTTTTTTTCAATGGCACAATTAGAGTTACTTTAAAATCCAACTTCGACTTCCTACGTTAGTAGTTTTGTCTTACGATGCAGTAAAACTATTTCCGGAAATCCGCAATTCGAAAACAGTAATTAATTAATATTTGGTGGTTTTAACAACTCTATGTCACTCCTTGTAGCTATATCTATATATGTGGAACACCTTTTTCCGACCATAGCTTATAAGTCAAGTACTTACCTCTTTAGAACTGCCAGAAAGTGACAGGGCGTAAGCGTTGGGGTCTGGCTGGTCCTCAGGTCCTCGCTGCAATATTTTAGGCTTACGAGGATTTTTGGCGATGCCTCGGCCTCGACGCGCCGGTTGGACTAGGTCAACTATGAAAAAAGGGTAGTTACATTGATTCGCTTTATGCCAGAAACGCAAAATGCCACACGTGCAGAATGTCAGATTAGCAAAATGCTAGATTCTCAGAATGCCAGATTCTCAGCTGTGATAAAATTATACGTGGGGCGCACTATAAGTTTCCGGAATGAACAAGAAAAAATACTATAAATGGTCAGAAATGAATTTATTGTTTCTCAAAATATTCTCAGTTAGCCTTAATGCACTTTTTCGTACGAAAGAACCAATTTTGAAAACATTTATGCCACTCCTCCGTGACAATCTCTGAAACATATTTTTCATACTCTTCGACAGCTTCTTCAGGTGATGAAAATCGTTAACCGCGTAACTGGTTCTTAATTTTTGGAAATAAATAAAAGTCACAAGGTGCCAGGTCGGGACTGTACGCGGGATGGCTCATAAGGTCAACGTTGTTCACCTTCAAAAATTCATTTGTCTGTCTGGCCGTGTGAGAACTGGCATTATCGTGGTCCAAGATGATACGGCGTTTACGGTTATTTTTACCGAGTTTGTCAATAACTTCCGGCAAACAAATGGTCGTGTACCAATAACTATTCACGTTACAACGATTCTCCAAAGCAACAGTAGCCACGTGTCCAGTTTTATTAAAAGAAGATATAATCATCTGCTTAGAGGCACTTGCACGCGCGCCACTTTGGTTGGTTTCGACTCATCTTGAAAGACCCATACGCTCGATGCTGCTTTGTTTTGGGATTGTAACTATAAATCCATGTTTCGTCACCTGTTACTATGTCCCACACCAAATTTGACGCCCCTTCGTTGAATCTGGTAAGCATGGCATTGCACCAAGTGACGCCATCCGTTTTTTGAGCCTCAGTCAAATTGTGTGGGATCCACCGAAAGCACAGCTTTTTCACAACCAAATGTTTGTGTAGTATTGATTGTATTTGACTCATGCCTATGCCTAAAGATGCCCGAATCGATGGCACACCATCGATGTTTTTGTTGTTCACAGCAGTGAACGGGCGACCATCATGAAATTCGTCACTGAGATTCACACGACCGCGTTTAAATTCTGCAAACCAGCTATAAATAGTCGTCTTGCATAGTGCTTCATCGCCAAAAGCAGTTTGAGGCCGAGCGAAGCTCCGCTGAGCTGTTAAATTACACTTAAAAAAATCGTAGAAAATCATACTACGAAAATTTCCACGAGTTAAATCCATGGTGATGTAGACAACCAATTTCTAAAAACAAGTGACAGTCAGATGAAACAAACTGTGTTCTACAGCCAAAGAGTTCCATTTTCAAATGTTGTGATTACTTTTTATATATTGTTTATGTAAGTGGCCAGTTCCGGAAACTTATAGAGCGCAGTATATATGTATTATATATATATTAGTATTCTAGGGATAAAAAAGTACACATTTACAATAGATCAATTATTTCTTTGAGGATCAAATAATATTTATCCCTAAATAAATTTTGCGAAACTTACAAGGTCTTTCCGGCCAGGCGCGGCTACACGCCACCTGGGTTCTCGGCACATGCGACAACAGGCCTAACGCTCGCGAGCTGTTGGGGATTATGGTCGTTGTGCCCTGTACAATTAAAATCAAACTCACTTGTGTTTATGTTAATTTCTTATTGCACACACAATACTGCTTCTTATAGATAAGCAAATTAATAGAGATGTCAAATGACTAGGGTAAGGGTGCTGGTGAAATCACAGGCACATGGGACTTGTCAACTATGTCTGTGGGGGACGGGCGGAGTGGCAGTGCTCTTCAGATCATTATATTTAAAGCTCTGAGTGGCACTGCAACTGCTATGAACAGGCGTGTCGCTTACCACCAGGCCCACGACGTGCTCGTTACCGGAAAGTGCGCGAAACCGGATTCATCACCCAGTTTGCCAGTTCGAATATTTTCTTCAAATTTAAATGGGATCAATACTGAGGTACTCTCTTACCAACAAGAATCCTCAAAATCTACTCACTAATGAGTTAATTAAATAATATTGGTCGAATTGAGAACTTCCTCCTTCTCTGAAGTCAGTTAAAAAATCTGGCATTAGACCAGCGCGGCGAACTATAACCTAAAACCCTCGCCTGAGAGGAGGCTCGAACTCAGCAGTGAGAAATATAAAAATGGGGTGATGGTACCTTGGGAAAAGAGAACTTGGTGATTTCCAGGACTTTGTCATGAGAAATGTTGTTGGCTGTTAAAATCTCCATAACTTGTTCCGGTGTCGGATTGAGACCTGAAACCTGGGAATATTGTAATGGTTAAATAAGAGTCTATACTACCTCAACACGAATTCAATTATTCCCGTATTAATACGGTTCATTTTGCTTGGGTCGGCAGGGACGCTGGCTTTATATCAGAACTTATTTTTTTACAAACGAGATTAAAGCAATTTGAAAAATGTACATCGTATACTTTACGAGTCCTATTTAGTTCAGTTGATATTAAAAAAATCATTAGTACATGTCGCACTGTTATTACAATCGCGTTGTAACTCAAAATATGTCAAATTTAATATTATATCATTATTGAACGTAAAATTTGATTCTCTACACGTCAAAAAAGTCATTACAATATTGTAAGAAACAATCAAAAGAAATATACTTAACTCAAAATGAGACTCGCTTTATGTGAGCTAGTTCTGGCCAAAATAATCCATATTCAAAAATATGAAATTATTTATGTCTGTTAAAACTTGCAATGGCGGTTGAATAACAGCTCCATGGCAAGTCACTGAGAAGCCACTAAACTTTTAGCAGAATACCAAACGTCAATTCTGCCACTGAAGTGTCAGCGGCAGAATTATCGACACACAACTAACATTTAAATTTATATTGAATTGATATTCAATTATTTTTTTATGTGAAATTACTCCACTAGTTTGTTATAATTATTAATACAAAGATCGAACATTCAGAAAAAATTCCTTCAATCCGGCCGGATTCGAACCGACGTCTTCTGGCATACCGTGCCAGATACTATACCAACTAAGCCACGGAACGAACCAGCGGACCTCACAAATTTTTATAAGGGCCTTGTCGTATCCTTGCATTTGGTTTTTCAACGACTTTTTAACCGTAGAAGAACTCGGTTGTCGGCCGATTTCTTTTTAGTTTTATTCACAACACCCGAATCAAACGTCAAGCTTTCGTATTGGAAACCGAACCGAAATGACGTCATACGCGTGTTATGTATCCAGATTTTACACATAACACACATACCTAAAACATCAGGTCAATGTATTGCAACGTGGCCGATGCTACCAATTACAATTATAAGACACTTTTAGACCTAACGTACCTAACTTCGGATGTTCTTAAAATTATTTAGTTTATCTTTAAGAAATACCTTTGTGAAAATTTAATACAGTTCATCATATTTTCTCGTTTTTACTTTATCTCCACTGCGGCCACCGTGCGATTACACGAATTTCTCGACCGGCAAAGGTTCGAAACGTTATTCAGAACCCAGTTACCGAATGAAAGTTACCGAACGTGCTATTGTTTACAAAGCGAGAATGTAATATGGAATACTCTTATTATTTTAAATAAAGTGGATTTTGTTCAATTTGATTAATTTATTTTAATGCAAGACTGATCCATTCCTATATTTTAGGCGTACGAAGGGTTACTTATTAGTAGTTCGAAATGACATTTTCCAGAAATAAGGTTTGCTCGAATTTTCATAATCTCGATAGTAATTTTGAGAGGAAAATGTTTTTTTCTTTTAAACCTAACTTAACCAAACCTAACCGAACCTAATCGTGTCTTTGCGATAAACATCCAACATATCCTGAAAGAACAACGGTTTCGTTATAATTCGGTTTTCGGTGTAATGAAAATTCGAACAAACGTTATTACGGAAAACAAATCGCGTTTGTGACAGGTTATCCCTTTTCCTTCTTTCATTTTTATTATAATCTATTTCTCCGACTAATTCGGTTAAAATATCGAAGAGTTCTGAATCGGGGTCCAGGTCTGACTAAAAAAGAGAGATGTAATAAAGTCTGAAGAACCGACCTCCAAGACAGCCAAATGCGTGGGATGTTTGAGCCTGAGGTGTGTCCGAAGGTCGGAGCGGATGCGGAACCGCTTGGGGCAGCGGCCGCAAGCCCATGCGCGTACGCCCGTGTGGATCAGGCGGTGGTTGCGCATCGCCGTGGACCTGGACACCAGCAGGCTGATTTTAATTCAAAACGAAATCGATCCGATCGGGTATCCCATCCGAGTCTCGAAATCAGATGGGTTTCCGAGCGAGAAGATGAACCTCATTCCTACTATATCTTTCTAATCTGTGAGTTAAATCAACTACTGTTCCGATTTTAAATGTCAAAAGTTTCCGATCGGCCAGTTGTGAACCGCAATTATGCGCCTCGACTCGGAAAAGACGCAGATTCCGATAGGGGAAGGCAATCAAAATCAAGCTACAGGCAAGCTAGATATAGACGAATCGTGTGGGGAGGCGCTGGTTATCCACAGTTTTTTTTTTTATATATACATGACAGGCAAATGACTCCACTCCACCTGATGTTAAGTGGAAAGTGGTATCCAAACGCGAAGGAACCTAGTGCAGGGATGAAATCCTCACTGCACTAGCCACCTCCACCCTGCCTGCCTACAATATGCCTCTTCACGCCTCGTTTGAAGGACCCCATATCATAAGAGGGTTTATACAAAACTAGAAATAACATTCGAATAATCTCTGTTTCATAAATACGCAAATTAATAATAATAAAATTGTTTATCGAATAACTTATTGTACAAAGACTAATTATGCGAATCAATGTAATATATAACACATACATATACCTGAACTAAGAGAATCCTGTATTTCAGGTAAAACGTACTAATTATACATGTGGATATAGTATTAAATTATAAACAAAAGATTAAATAAACAATAAAATACAAATCATATACCTATACGCTTAAATTAGGAAACATTTATTTTGGGATAATTAATAAATTCTCTGTACCATCACAGGACATGTTTTGAGTTCACCACCATATCGGCCGGAAGACGTCCACCGCTGAACATAGGTCTCCCCCAAAGATTTCCAGACCAGCCGATCGGACGTGCCATGCACCCATCGGTTACCCGCCGCCCTTACCAGGTCACCTTAACCTTCATGTAATAAAAATGATATATGGCCAATTTGGCGTTCAATTTATTGTACAAAAATGGCCAAAAAACAAAAAATCTGGAAATAAACACATGTTTTGATGACATAATTTTGGGGCAGACAACATCTTTCGTCGTTTGTTAGTCTTTTCAGTACTATATGGGAGAGCAATGTGCTGTTTGAGGATTGTGGACTTAAGAATAAGAATAGTTTATTGCGTAAGCACTGAGACACACATGATCTTAAATTTAAATATAATATTATAAACTTGAAACTAAAATACAGTACTTACAACAAAAGTTAAAACATAATTATAGTGATAAAAAAATTAAAAACTGTAATAATAAATGCGTGTCACGCCACACGCAAACGGTATTTGCTCAGCTATTATCTACAGGCTGATAGATTTTCAGCCTGTAGCGCTGGTTTTCAGCAAGCATGAGTGAAGCACGAACTCGAGCGCAAACAAAACAAATACATGCATAACATGTGCGTGAAACTTGGTATACACTAAAATATTTACACCAAATATACCGGGTGTAACAGAAAGGTGTGGTCATATTAAAGGACCCAAATGTACACTTGATTTAGACCCTGTGTGCAAAATATCAAATAAAAATAAGTGACTTTTAATGTTGATATAAGTTTAATTATGTTTGTATAAATAGTGATTGTCCGAAACAACCACTGCGTCACAACTCTATTGCTAGCTTCGTTACTACGACTTCACAAATTCATTCATGAAACCTGGGCGGGGCGAAAGAACAGCTGACTACAATTGAAATGCCATTGTAAAAACATGATTTCAATATGTTGATAATACGTTAATATTAAGTAACAAAATCTTTAAATACCTAGAAAAATCGAATTATTTCTAATAATATTATTTTATGCCATACCTAGGTACGCGTACGTACTTATTTACATACAATTTAAAAAATATTTATTTACTTATTAAGCCCGTAGTTACGCACGCCTTCATCGTATACACATTCTACATAGTTTAGTATTAATACATTTATTTACGACAATTTTACAATAGTGGATACTTTTTTAATTGGTACTTACCTACTGTTCAATTCATACACGTTTTAATGAATTTCCTACGAATTGTAATTCACTGTTGTACAATGTACGAAATATTGACTTGTTTACGATAATTTTGAATAATAAGTACAATCAATGCACGCACTGCTGGAACATTTCACACATTTACAGGTAAGGTTCAAAATGCCGACCTCCATGCAATATGCATATTTCCGTGCGTCGGTACAGAGACTGCTCTACTCTTTGAAGCATCTGCCGAGTGATTTGACTAAATGCCATTTCGATCCGCTGCCTCATTTCTTCTGCGCTTTCACAGGACTCCGCATAAACAATATTTTTTATATGACCCCATAAAAAAAAATCGAGCGGTGTCAAGTCTGGGGACCGCGCTGGCCAGGGTACAGGACCTCCCCGCCCAATCCACTGCGGGAAACGGTCGTTCAGATGGGAACGTACATTTCGAGCAAAATGTGCGGGTGCTCCATCGTGCTGGAAAGTCATCCTGTGTTCCATCACGAGTCTCACGTATTGTGTCACTGGCAGGGCCATCAGAACGTCATCCAAGTCTTCTGTTAGGAATCTTAAATAATTGGCCCCATTCAGACTTGCCGGCAAAAACACTGGACCGATGACGGCACAACCTATTATACCAGCCCACACGTTAATCCGCCACTGGTGTTGAAAATTTGATTCCCTTGATACGCGGGGATTCAAATGAGTCCAAAAATGTTCATTATGCATATTGATAATGCCCGCACGCGTAAATGACGCCTCGTCTGTCCACAGTACCGACGAAGCGAAGTCGGGAGACCTCCCAATCTGGTCGCGGTACCAGCGGCAAAATGCCAAACGTGGATCATAGTCCGCTTGTAACAGCTCCTGCGTTCTTTGAAAATGGTATGGGTGCTGGCCATCATCCCGTAACACACGCCACACACTCATATGGTTCACACCACCAAAGGCTGCCGCAGCACGACGAGTACTTGTCTTTGGATTGCCGAGAAAATGTTCCAAAACATCTGCCTCGAATTCTGCGTCTCGTGAACTCGGCCGGCCTTCAGAACTGGAACCACGGAACGATCCACTATTATGAAGTCTCATAACCATCTTCCTGAAGCATTCCAGAGTAGGAAATGGTCGACGTCGATTTTCTGGGACGCCGTCAATAAACTTTGCCCAATACATTTGGCGAGCCTGGCGCAAGCTCCCATCGGCTGCGCCTACGCACAACATCATCTCATAGTAATCACTATTGCTTAAGCGTGACATAGTTTAAATAAACACAAAAACGAGACACAAACAAAACGATGACACCTATTTAGTCCTCACAACGCAAACGGCAATTACAGACTGTTACAAAAAATAAAAAAATAGTGCCTCTGCCTTAGCGGCGGCACATCAAAGGACGCCGACTGAAACGCAAATTTTGGAATATAGGGTAACGTTTTCATAATGTACCTACAGGATGAAATTAAAATTATTACCATCCTTTTAAAATAAGACCCTTCTCATGATACAAATTACATCATTACATACACATTAAACGAATACCTATATCCTACGTATCTACGACCTTCAACGTTGCACTGCATACGTCTTTGTTTGTAAACATAACTCTGACCATCACCCGTACCACTTCCACACAACGCAGGAACTGACTGGGTGATTACGGATATACTGCACTAAGGAGGCAGTCACCCATCGGAAACCCACGACATCCGAAACGAAAGCCTAACACACTAACCACTACACCATGGAGGCAGTCAACTATGGGAATCAAATCCACGACCGCCGAAACGAAAGCCTAACACTCTAACCTACACCATAGAGCCAGTCAACTATGACATTCGAATCCACGACCTCCGAAACGAGTCTAACATTAATTCACTACTCCACATCACGATGTATAAAATCAAAATGCTGGCGGCGAAAATCAAAGGTGATATTTTTGCCGCCAAAGTTGCCGCCAAAGGCTTGTGACTTCGCTACGATTACGTATCGCGTACGCAAGGCGACTAATCTTGATACTTTGTTTATTTAGGTAAGATTTTTTATGGTTTTACACTATTGCTAATTTAAACTATTCTAAAATATTTC